AGCCTGCCCCCGTCTCAGTAACCGCCCGCCGCGCACCAGCCCGCCCCCGTCTCAGTAACCGCCCGCCGCGCACCAGCCCGCCCCCATCTCAGTAACCGCCCGCCGCGCACCAGCCCGCCGGGAGAGCACAAATACAAGTAGCTGGGCCAAAAGCTGGGACTAGGTCCCGATGCTGAAAGGAGCCAATATACTTCTATAAAAATTCATTTAAAATTTACGGAACCCCCTGAAGGGCCCAGACTCAGTCCTGGCAATATGGCTCTAGACCCAGCTGTGATGTTTCCACCCACTGCAGTGTCACTGAGCCAGGTCAATATTTCATCTGGGCATTGAGCTAACCAATATTTCACAAGTTTCTACTGTCATTGACTCATTCTAGGGAAAAATACTTTTGACAAAACATTCACAAGGGTTTGCAATCTGCTGCAGCCGCCGGCGCTTTAGGGGCAGACTGCAACTGGCTTACCTCTCTCCTCCCAGAATCAACGCAGTCTTCAGGCCTGTGAACTTGCCCAGCTGCAGGACAAAACACACCGCATCTACTGTTAATCCTAATCTTGCCTCCAGCTCCCCACTCCCCTCATTCCCAACCATGGGACCCTTCACGTCAACAGCCAGGGCTACCCCAGCGCAAGAGGCCTGGCTGTCTCAGGAGGGATGAACACATTGAAGCTGCTAAGACTTTGGATCCGGCTGCTTCTCCCTTTGTACAACCTGCCTCCATCTTTAACCCCGCAAAACCAGCAATGTCGGGGGCTCTCCATAGGGGCAGCAGGAGGCCCACGTAGCAACCCAGCCATCAGCACTCAAAAGACAGAGTGCAGTGGCTGCTGCTACTTGTTCAACCTGCAGGGTTACGGAAAGTACCCATGCACAGACCACAGCTCTGTTTGAAGGCTGTCCTTGTGAGCTAAACCACAGGAGTGCAGCCAGACTGGATCACACCCAAGATCCATCTGCTCTTTGTCTAGTCCAAGGGAGTGCAAACTACGGCCTGTGGGCCGGATCCGGCCCCTCAGGGCTTGCAATCCGGCCCGTGGGATTGCCAGCCCCACGGTGCAGCGGAGCTAAGGCAGGCCCCCTGCCTGTCCTGGCCCCGCGCTGCTCCCGGAAGCAGCTGGCACCATGTCCCTGCGGCCTCTGCACCCCTCCTGCATCCCAACCCCTTGCCCTGAACCCCTTCCTGCACACTGCACCCCCTCCCACACTCCAACCCCCTGCCCCAGCCCTACATTCATGGCCCTGCATACAATTTTCCAAACCAGATGTGGCCCTTGGGCCAAAAAGTTTGCCCACCCCAGTCTAGTCTCTTGCCAGGACCAAATATTTCAAAGGTATATGCGAAGAACCTTCTAGTGGACAATATAGAAAACCTGCCTACAGGCACACCATCTACCTAACCTCAGCCAGTTGGCTTATGTCCTGAAGCCTGATGATCTCACCCTCATTTTTTCACCATGTCTAGTTCTATTCTATTCAGATTCTTATTCTGTGCCCATCACTGTGGTATCCACGGACGTTCTCATAATCCACATAAATATCCACATCTTTTTGGAACCCTGCTACATTCTTAGCTTCAAAGATACCTTGTGGCAATGAGTTCCACAGGTTAGTTATGTCATGCAAGAAACTGTCCCTTAGCAATTACTGCACTATATTGCCTCTCCATATCAACACAAGCTCCATGTACCATGCTCTCAAGTCACATCTGTGAGAGAGCTCCCAGCTACTCCAGTCCCAGTGTCTCCTTGATCAGCTGATGCTGCTTCCTCCACTCCCTACCTCCTTTGTGAATTTCATAGTCTGCAAGGCAAGCTCGCGGGTTGGCGAGAGGATGAGGGCTCGGGCTCCCGTCTGGGCACTGTGCGCCTTCAGCTTCTCAAACATGGGGATGAGGAAACAAGCCGTCTTCCCACTGCCGGTCCTTGCCATGGCCACCATGTCTTTCCCATCCAGGATCACAGGGATGGTCTGCAAGACAAGAACAGATGCTGCTCCAATCCAGCTGGAGGATTCTTATCCTGTGCCAGTCACTGGGGTATCCATGGATGTTCTCATAATCCAAAAACATCCATATCTTTTGGGAACTCTGCTACAATTCTTAGCTTAAATGGCATCTTGTGGCAATGAGTTCCACAGGTAGGTTACAGGGGTGTTGGGGAAACTTTGCTAATACTGGGCCTTGTGGAATCCACATGCCAGACGTGGCTAAAGCTCACCAGCACAGTGAGATTCACCTCCCACCTCAACCCCACAAAGCACTGCAGAAATTACCTACGGAAACCCCGCATGACCTTTAACAAACATACACCCCATACAAATTACACTGGAGCAATCAGAGCCGGTCCATTACCCTTCGCTGGATTGGCGTAGGCACTTTGTAGCCTTTCTTCATGACCCCTTTGAATACAGGATAACTCAAGCCTACGAGAAAAGACAAATATGATCACAATATTAAATGGCCCTTGGATAACAAGGGTGCAGTGTTACCAACTATTTTAGTGCAAGTCTCACAATATTATTGTTTTTTACTTAAAATCCCACCTTCCGGAGTCATGTGATTAGAGGATAACCTCAGCTTTCATTAAAAAAGTTTCTTACCCTAATAGTTGCAAATAAAATCTCAAAAATGTGACGGAGAGGTTCAAATTCCAGAAGGCAAAGAAAAAGAACCCCAATTTTGATCCAAGCATGAGCCTCAATGCATGCTGGGACACGCGATTTCTTCTGAATACACCTGCAATGTGCTCCTCTGCCTGGTACTCAGGCCTTGACCAGTTGCTGAGGTGGCCCTGAGTCGAGCTAAGTTTGAGCGCCCCATGTTAATCAAAATTCAATTTCTGCCCTCAGAATTATGACCATCCATTTCACTCACCCATAGACTGGAAGCCCCCAGATTTCTTCTTCTTTTTGTTCTGTGCTCGTACCATCTCTCTAGTGTCTGGCTCCATGTCAGAGGAGTAATCAGGCGTTGGAAAGGCTGGTAAGATCTTACTGGATGCCTGCTGACAATGGAGAAAGGGCACACATGCAAAAAGCAATGTCATTTCAGGTCACGATAGATGGAAGAGGGCTCTTAGATCATCCAGCCCAACCAGGACAGGAGTGGTCCTTACAGCCTATTTTCCCTGATCTGTCCAGTCTCATTTTAGAACTCCCTAGATCGGCGGTTTTCAAACTTCTTTTCTGGCGACCCAGTTGAAGAAAACTGTTGATGCCCACGACCCAACGGAGATGGGGGTTTGGGCTGTGGGAGGGGGTTGAGGTGCGGGAGGGGGTCCCCCTGGGGAAGCCGGGCCACCCCAGTACGGCACATCGGCTCTTGCCGGTATGCCGAACCAGGGCGTACCAGCTTCACCTCTGCCCGACCCCGTCCACCACCACCCCGGGTAGGGTGGGAGTTCTGGGGGTCTGTCAGGGTGGTGGTGGATGGGGTTGGGCAGAGGTGAAGCTGGTACGGCCCGGTTCAGCATGCCGGCAAGAGCCGATGTGCCGTACCGGGGTGGCCTGGCTTCCCCAGGGGAACAATTTAAAGGGCCCCACTGCTGGAGCCCTGAGGTAGGGCTGCGGGGCTCTGGGGGCTATTTAAAAAGTCCAGGGCTCCCACTGCTTCTACCGCCCCGGCCCTTTAAATAGCCGCCAGAGCCCCTCTGCTTCCCCAGCTATTTAAAGGGCCGGTAGAAGCAGGGGAGCCGCGGGCCCTTTAAATAGCTCCCAGAGCTCTGGGATAGCGGGGGGCTCCAGGGGCTATTTAAAAGGCCGGGGCTCCAGCTGCCTCTGCCGCCCCAGCCCTTCAAATAGCCGCTGGAGCCCTGCCTCTTCCCCAGGGCTCCCGCGGCTATTTGAAGGGCCGGGGCGGTAGAAGCAGGGGAGCCGCAGGCCCTTTAAATAGCCTCCAGAGCCCTGGGATAGCGGGGGGCTCCGGGGGCTATTTAAAGGGCCCTTGACTCCAGCTGCCTCTGTGCCCCAGTCCTTTAAATAGCCGCCAGAGCCCCACCGCTTCCCCAGGGCTCCGGTGGCTATTTAAAGGACTGGGGCGGTAGAAGCAGGGGAGCTCCGGCCCTTTAGATAGGCCCCGGAGCCCAGGGCTGCTGCTACTACCCCAGTGGCAGAGGGGGGGGGGAAGGAGAAACTTGCCGGTTCTGAGGGGGACAGTCGGGGGCAGGACGTGGGTTGGGGTCAGATGGGTGGATGCGGGGGGTGGGGGAAGACAGGCACGTGGGGCTTGTACTCACCGCACGGTTCCCTACCGGGTCTTCAGCGACGGGTCCTTCACTTGCTGTGGCTGAAGGACCTGCCGCCGAAAACCTGGAGCGAGTGGACCCGGTAGGGAACCGGTTCTTAGGATTTTGGGAGCTCATTACTGGTTGGGGCACAGGTTTTGCTTGGGCGGCTCTCGGTCAGCGGTGGCGCTAAGGCAGGCTTTCTGCTTGTCCTGGCACCACAGACCGAACCCCGGAAGCGGCCAGCAGCAGGTCTGGCTCCTAGGCAGAGTCGTACAAGTGACTCCACACGGCTCTCACCTGCAGCCACTGCCCCCCCCCCCCCAGCTCCCATTGGCTGGTTTCTGGCCAATGCGAGTGCGGAGCTGGTGCTCGGGGCAGGGCAGCGCACAGAGCCCCGTGGTCCCCCCGCCTAGGAGTCGGACCTGCTGCTGGCCGCTTCCAGGGTGCAGTGCAGTGCCAGGGCAGGTAGGCACTAGCCTGCCTTAGCCAGGCAGCCGCACTGACGGGACTTTTAACAGCCCGGTCGGCTGACCCGAGCGACCCAGTGCCTGACATGCTGCGACCCAGTACTGGGTCGTGACCGGCAGTTTGCAAACCACTGCCCTAGAGAGGGGTTTCCACTCCTGCCTTGGGAGCCCAACCCCCAGCCCGCTCCAGTCGTTCGCTGCATGGCACACGGAACTCCCCGGCGCCGCTCCCCGCGAGCGTCACTCAGTGTTTGTGCTGCACGAGATCCAGGCAGGACCGGGACCCGCCGTGCTGGGCCCTGTTACGGGGGGGGGGAGCCCCAGAGCATTTACAATCTCACTCCTGCGGGGGGCGGGGCGGGGCGGTCCGTGCTTCGGCCTGACCCAGAGGCCAACGGAAGTTTTGGGTCCGTGACTCGGTCACTCGGCAAAGCCGCAGATGTCCCGTAACCTCCCCGCGCCGCCCTCGGCCTGCGGCCGCCCACGCACCGGGGCCGGACACCACGTGCAGGCAGCGCCCGGCCGGGCCCCGCTCCGGACCCCCCGCCAGCCGGGGCTCGGGCCGCTCCCCCCACGCTCCGCCCCGCCCCGCTCACCGGCCGCTCCGGGCTCCCCTCCGCGCCCGGCTCGGGCTCGGGCTCGCGGCCCCGAGGGGGCCGGCGGCGACGCGGCGCCATGGCTACGGGTCGGGCGGAGGGCAGAGCACGCGACGGACTCCGACACGCCGTGTAGCCCCGCCCCTGGGGCGGATTGAACCACCGCGACCTCTAGCGGGGAACACAGGGCTGCACTTCCCATCCCGTCCCCCCCCGGCTGGAGAGATGGTATGGCCCGCAGAGCCGCGCGCGGGGCGGGGCTCGCGCGGCTCAGTGGGCGGGGCCCTGGGCACTTTGGGTGCCGCGCGCAGCTGGAGCGCGAGGCGCTTTCTGGCGAGGGTGGGCGGTGGGTGCGGGACGGTCTGACCCTCTCCCGCTGGCCCAGGCTGCGGGCCCAGCCGTGCTAGGGTAGCCCGGGACACAGCGAAGAGACACTGGGGGGGGTTTGCCTTTGACAATCCCCCTCCCTGCGGAAGGATCCCTCAGAGCCCCAACAATGGCAGATCCCCAGCCCTAAAAATGCCCTGTGCGTGTGCAACCTTCTCCCTTCTCCGCCCCAGGGACCTCCTGCAGCGGCGCTTCTCCCTTGTCCTTCTCCTCGTCTCTGCTCGGTTCTCCTTCGCGTCTACACCTGCGTCTGCAGCTGGGCACCTCGGCCCCCCCACGTCACAGGCACCCCCAGGGAGCTGGCCCTGCTCCTCTCCGCAGGTCCTTACCGGACTCTCCTGGACTTCAGGCAGGGTTCATTGCTGGACATGGACCCTGGCCCGAGATGCTTTGCGGAGTCAGCTTGGCAATGAAGCCCTGGATGGAGCTGGAATCCAAGCGATTCATCTCCTACACGAGGGCCACAGTAGCTACAAGGTCAAGGCCAGACCATCCTATGTGGCTGAGACCTTGTTTGGCAGCCCAGTGGGGACCCAGCCAGCTGCATGTGCTCAGGGGGTTAGAGCAGAGGTCTCATCACTCCTCCCTCTGCCAAGAGCACCTGGGCCCAGCGCCGTAGCGCAGGGGGCGAGAGCAGGGGGCTCAGACTGCAGGGAACGCCAGTTCAAACGTCGCAGGGGCCTGGGCAGCCGTCTTGGACTCAGAATCTCCTCACTGGTGGCTCATCTCCCCTTCCTAGGTAGCTCGTCTCTCCTCAGCGTTAACCTACGGCCTCCGTCTGCCAAGCTCTGGAGCTCCCAGGGTTAGAGCAGTAGTGTCAGAATACAGGGGTTGCCAGCTCAAATCTCACAGAGGCCTGGGTAACAGTCTCAGAATCTCCTCACGGGTGGCTCATCTCCCCTCCCCGGTAGCTCATTTCTCCTCGGTGTTAACCTACATCCTCCTCTGTGAAGGGCAACGTTCCCTCTCATTTTTCCCATCCATGTGTGGAATGACTTTTGTTATGTGCACCAATATGGAGGTGAAGTGTGGCGAGAGAGGGGCTGAGGTTCGGAGGGTGGGAGGGGGCTTAGTAATGGGGCAGAGGATTGGGTGCAGGGGGTGAGGGCTGCAGCTGGGGGTGCAGGCTCGGGGGTGAGACTGGGGATGAGGGGTTCAGGATGTGGAGGGGGCTGCAGCTGGGGGTGCAGGCTCTAGGGTGGGGCTGGGGCTGAGGGGTTCAGGATGCGGGGGTGGTGTTCCAACTGGGGGGGCAGGCTTTGGGATGGGGCAGGGTTCAGGGTGCAGAAGGGGGCTCAGGGCTGGGGCAGAGGGTTGGGGTGAGTGCTTCAGCTGGGGGTACCTGCTCTGGGGTGGGGCCAGGGATGAGGGGTTTGGGGTGCAGGCTGCCCTAGGGCTGTGGTGGGGAGAAAGGACTCCCCCCAGCATAGGCGCTGACTTTTATTTTTCCCAGTGGGTGCTCCGCCCCACCGCACCCCCACCGCCCCATCCTTGCTCTGCCTCTTCCTGTCCCTGCTCCGCCTTCTCCCCCCGAGGCCCCACGCCAAGTGCCGAACAGCTGAACAGTTGTGGCTGGTGGGAGTTGACCACCCCCACTATTTTTTTCCATGGGTGCTGAAGCCCTGGAGCACCTGCGGAGTCAGTGCCTATTCCTGATTCTCTCCTCACTTGTAGCAGTATAAATCAGGAGCAACCCCAAGGAAATCAGTGGAGTTATACTGATATAAAACTAATGAACAGCCTAATGAGTGGTGCTGTGGTTCACCAGCAGATATAAACCCAATCTGACAGGCCAGAGAAGGCAGGTCAGACCGGCAGTGCCAGCAGGAATCTAAAACACACTTCTTGAGTTGAAGAGGGTACTAAGGGGTGAGTCTAACTGGCATAGCTATACTGGCAAAGGCACTGTAGTGTAAACAAGACCTGCATTAACCATGGTTTTGGGCAGTTAGTTTCCCTTGTTTCCTGGGGAAGAGGTGTTAGTGAGGGGGCATGATTGGAGGGCACCTCTGGGAGAGGAATGATCTGCCACTTTAACTACCAGCTCTGCTCTCCTCCTGGCCCACCTTGCCCCCTGAAGGGCCATGGGAAGAAAGGAGGATGGTAATTGATGGGCTGTGACGAGCACTTCCACCAGCTGGAGGCAGCAAGATGAATAGCAGGGAGCCCCAGACTTTGTATCTACTTCAGGGTGCTAGTGCAAAGGAAGGGGCTCTGCACAGCCCTCTGCAGTACAGGAGTGCTGTTGATGTGTGGAATGGCCCATTCATCTCAGTGGGGTGTGCTCAGATGAATTAAGATGCTCCAGAGAGATGAATAGTCTAAGGGCATGGCTATACTTGCAGATGTAGAGTGCTGTGAGTTAAACCCGCCTTCGGAGAGCGCAGTAGGGAAAGCGCTGCGGTCTGTCCACACTGACAGCTGCTTGTGCATTGGTGTGGCCACATTTGCGGCACTTGCAGCGGCATTGGGAGCGATGCATTATGGGTAGCTATCCCAACATGCAAGTAACTGCAACATGCTTTTCAAATGGGGGGGGGGGAGCACGTCAGCATGCTGTCTTGTAAGTTCAGACAGTAGCAGACTTCCCCCTCCGCCCCCATCTTTCTCTCTCTCACACACAGCATTCCACAGTAATGGTTTGCATGTCGGCTGTCAGAAACGGAGCTTTGAAAGGGCATTTCCGCATTCCTACAGGAATTCAAAACAATGACAAGAGTGGCCACTTGACTTAACGGGATTATGGGACATTTCTGGAGGCCGATCAGAGCGCAGTAATGCAACACCTCGTTCACACTGACACCCGGGCATTGTAGCCAAGGCGCAGCAAACGTTATTCCTCTCGCCGAGGTGGAGCACCAGCAGCGCTGTAGCCGTGGAGTCAGAGCGCTCTACCTGCCTTGCCAGTGTGGACAGGTAGTGAGCTAGTGTGCCCAGGGCTCCTTTATTGCGCTCTAACTCGCAAGTGTAGCCAAGCCCTAATCCAATAGCTCTGGGTGGTGTGAAATGACCCATTCATCTCAATGGCAGTTCCCCTCTACCTCAGTTTCAGTTGTGGAATACCACTGTTCAAGGTAATCTCACTATGCAGGTCAGTTTTAGAGCAACTGGAATATTAACATTTTCTTCTTATTGGGGGAGAGGGGACAGTATGCGAGGAACGCCTGAACCAAATTATTCCAAACTTGCACCACTGCCCCTGTTGTGGCATACCAATATCTTAGATAATCTCATTATGCATGTGGATTTTAGAATACTTTGAAAATTAAAAGCAGCTCATAATGCAGGGGGAATCATAGAATCTCAGGGTTGGAAGGGACCTCAGGAGGTATCTAGTCCAACCCCCTGCTCAAAGCAAGATCAACCCCAACTAAATCATCCCTCAAAGCAGGAGCAATCCCCAACTAAATCATCCCTCAAAGCAGGACCAATCTCCAACTAAATCATTATATATTGGGAATCTCTTGATCAAATGACCTAAATTTGCACCATAAATTCTACCCCAGTCCCTGAATAGCTTTTTAATTATTGCTTCCTCAAAAGGGAAGTGGTGGTGGAAATTATCCACAATTGATCCTGAGAGAGTAATATCAGGACTAGAGCCATAGTTTGAGCCCCAAGTATACTAAAAAAAAAAAGTCATAAGTAGTATAAAATGTGGACGTTACGTGATTATTTTAGTGGGACTGTATCTCACTTAAACAACCTCAAAAAGCTTGACAACTAAACCAATCCTGTGGCTATTTTCAAGACAAGATTTTTCTGAGGGCCTCTTCCCCCAATCAGCTTTCTCTTACCCTACCCTATTCTGCTGTGCTCCCAGCACTCTGTTCTATATGTACTTGCAATGGTGGAAAGGGACAATTTTCACACCCAGATCCAGTCTTTCAGCCCCACAAAGTCAGCAGTTACCCTGATTTGGGGGAATTGAGAATGGAAAGGATAATTTCATTTTTCAAGTTGATCTGTAAAGGGGCAATATCTGATACTGTGCCTTTGTTTGATTTTCTTCAGATGTGTAAAGAAGGCATGAAGATTTGGGGGCCTAGGTGTTTTTTTGTTTGTTTGTATGTTTGTTTTTGTTTGTTTTGGGGAGAGAAGATACATTTATGTTGCCTCCTTTTATATTAAAAATCCATGTCCTGTCTAGCCTGGGGGACTCATGCTTCGGCTTTGTCTAGACTAGAGTTGGTGGTCCTGTTATAATTTGAGCTAATTGATCGTAAACCCTTCCATCCCCACTGCCTCTTCTCCCCTGCCCCCACTTCCCCCATCCCCTTCTCTTCCCCATCCCATGCCCCTTCCCCACTGCCCCATCTCCTCCCCAGGCTTGGGGGGCAGGGGGCAAACCCCCAGCACTCACCAGCGGCGCAGAGTGGGCTGCGACCGGGTCGCTCCACTTCCCACCGCCCAATGAGTGCAAGGCACTCCCGTTCCCTGCTGAAGGTGACATGGTTTGGTAGCCCTGTGGATGCTGTGTGGTGTCTGGAATGGGGCGTGTGTATTCCCATGATGCCCCTTCCCCTCTGCTTGCAGAGCTGAGGACAGACAGGTCTGAGGAGCAGAGCAGGAGCTCTGGGAAGGAGAAGAGCAATATGAAGATGGAGTCTAAGATGAGGCCAGGTGACTTCTGTGGAGGGAGACATGCTGGACAACGCCAAGGTTTGGGGAGACAACCAGGTGTGAGCCCAGCACACAGAGAGAGCTGGGGGAGGGTGTCTGTGTTTGTAACACTTCCCTGTCCTCTCTCACAGATGGAGTCCAAGAG